GTGACAACCCATAAAGTCTCTACGGCATATAGCCTTGTATACCTCCGTAGTTGACTCCCTTACAGCCATCTCACGGAATTCTCTTACGCAGTAGATTTTTACAGCCTGATTAGGCGAGCTTTATTAGGGAAATACATGCCCTTTGCCAACACCGCTGGTCTAGACTCATCCCACATTGCCTATAGAAATTCATCAGCATCTCTTGTGAGGGCATCCACGTTCGGCATACTTGGAAAATTATCAAGGTAGGAAATATTCCGCTCATGAAACGGCACGTGGGACTCGTACAATCTTGGTCTAACAGGGAGGTGGAGGAGCATGCTTCCTCGTCAGCTCAGGTTCGACATTCACTTCCTCCTCATCATCACCCTCATCAGGGAAGGGTGTGTCATCTCCAAACTCATCGGCACTGCTGTTATAATCACTATCATCTTCCTGACTCTGCGCATCTGCCAAATCACGAGTCAATACGTCGTCTATAGGCAACTATGTGAGGTCAGGAACATCAAGTTGCTCGTTTTCACTGCACAAAAAGAACAAAATGATAAGCTACTCAACTTGATAAATACTTTTACATATAGCTATATCACGTTATTTACAAGTCGTACTATGTTGACGTTCCATGATGGACATTTTCTTGTTGGCGATGACTCCCGGATGGACCACTGTGGTCCAACACGCCAGAACTACGCACATTCCAAGTAGGAGCGGGGTCATAACTTGTAAAATTCATATTTGGACGGTACCCCCTATGAAAAATATGAGTGTTAATACAAATCCAATTCAAACATAAAATAAACATCGCTAAAGCGTAGAAAATTTAAGTTTACCAGTCGTCTTGTGGATTATATAAAGTCGAAAAATTATTTCCTCGTTGTTCATTCGCCGATGGTGATAAGTTGAAATCAAGGCAAGCTCTTTCATCAGGAATCTGTCCGGCAAAAACTACTCTAGAATAACCACCCGATGACTGGGGGTTATCCCTACTATGCACACCCTCATTATTGGGAACATCTTCAACCTTGACGTACATTTTCAATAATTTTATTATAATAAATTCCCTGTATTCATCCGGAATCCGCAAAAAATCTCTAAGAGTTTCATCATCTTCGATGTTAAACTCAGAATTATAAGCAAACCCATGCGGAATCACAGAATACGGAAATCTACCGGTTACTTTAAGGTTCACCGAACGTTTCCTCGCACTCATTTTATTTACGTAACAACGATGCCAATTTATTGTACTCCATTGTAAGCGGCAATTTAACATGACAATGTGGAGGCGAACTATACCTCACAGAGTTATTCTCCATTACAACCTCACTCCCCAATATAATGAAACCCTTATTTTTGGCTCTTCAGACATTATAAAAAAAATGCTTGATAACAAGAAGAGAAGTATGAACGGAAGTTTGAAAGAAAGTTTTGAATGGATTTTCATAAAATCCTAACGCCTTTAAATAAGGCAAGTCCTAGCTCGGTGTGCAGAATTTTTTTATGTAAAATGCAGTATAATACCGTGCTTTATATATTTGAATTATTGTTATGTCAGTTAACCGCAGAACACTTATTGGTGGGCCCAAAAAAGAAGTAAAACGCAGTATAATACTGCGCTTTAGGTAAAACGCGTATTATACTACACTTTACTTTAATGGAAGGGGGGATTTAAATTGAAGGTGTAAAATGCAGTATAATACTGCGCTTTAGTAAAACGCAGTATTATACTGCGCTTTACTTTAACGGCTAAAATTTTGTTAAAGTAAAGCTCAGTATTATACTGCGTTTTAGGTAGAAAAGTAACTTTTTTTAAAACTGTAGAAACGTATTTTGAGTCCCAAAAGTCATTATTTAGGTTTCGGACTTGTTCCGCATTTATCACTAATATCGTGAATATTACTTTTACGGGATTTATTCCCAACATAAAGTACTTATTAAAATTGTTTATTAGAGTAAAATAATCTAGTTTGTGGGCTAAAACACGAGAAGGTGGAGTAAGGAAGAGATAATTCAATAAGTTTCAACTCTTTACAAAAATATGTATGTATTTACATTATAGATATAATGACTCTTTAAATAAATCAATAAAGTCACTTTCCTACATTATTCTTAAGAAACTTACTTAAAATTGACTTATTCTTTTTGTTTGAAAATCAAATTGCTTGAAGACGTGATTTGTGAGCTAAACAAAATCCTATGAATCACGATTTTTTGGTTAATTGTCGTCCTAAAGTGGCCAAGTTCATGATGCCAAACAAATTACTACTGTCTTTCAATAAGTCACTTTCCTACATTAATTTAGCTATACACAAAAAGTTAGTAGAAGAAGTTTAATTGGACTCTAACTTTTCTAGATTAACTAGTGGCGTGCTCAATATTTGTTTTGACTAATTCTATTTGTTTGGTAATCATAGTGCTTGCACGTGATTTATGATCGCAATTGAATCCTATGAATCATATTATTTGTTTGTTCATTATTGTCCTCAAGTGGCTCGGGGCCGGAACCCATCAACGCTTCTCAATTTAACTTCTATACACTACCAGAGATTATTTTTATTTAATAA